AATATTTCTGAGCTTTGCTCGTCGCTTCCGACTCATACATCAAAACTCGAGTTTACACTGTAAACCAAGGGTGAAAGTCGATATTTTGCCTTAGCAACAAAATGCACGACAATGACGTCAGTAAATTGTTGATAAGTATTTAAATTAATGTGCCAAAAACTATTTCACGAGCTCAATTACAGATCAAATTTTTTTTTTTAGCAAAAACGAGCTTAGGAAAATTGTGGAAATCAAATATCTCTACAATACTTTTTTTACACACTTTATACAAACGTTTAAAAAGTTTCCAGTCTGATACAGTTGATAAAATGGTTTGTACCGCTTTTATTTCCGTTATACCTGTAGATGGTCAATCAACGTTGCTGTAGTGATTTTCGTATCAAGTACGGAAAAGTTCAATGTACATATACTTCAGCTTTGTAGTATCCGTAAGTGGACATTTGTCTCGTTCTATCGCAGGTACATGCTAATAAGTACTAAAAGAGGTCAATTTGACTGAGCTTAAAAATGCCTTTGACACGAAAACACAAGGGTTGAATTTTAATTTGCAAATAAATCACATTTACATCCTGTTTCGTTATACCTCAAAGTGTTAATTGAATTATCGGAAAGGCATCGAGAGCTGCAATTCAGCTAAAAGTGATAATTACGTAAAAATCATGTGGGATGAATTTTAATTTCCCCCAAGATCAAAGAGAGCGAGAGAAAATTCACTCTTCTATCGAGTAGGAATCCCCTTGGAACCGCAACCCTCTTTTTTACGAGGTAGGCGGTGACACTACACCCTCAGACAGTGATTTTACAAGGAAAAGCAGAGGGGAAAATCAGGGGGACGATGAGCTTTAAATTGCGACTTTGTTACTTTAACGAGGCTCTTAAGAGGAGTATATATACAACCGATGGTCGATAATCAGCCGAGGGGGCTGTGAATGCAGTGGGGAGTGGTTCTTATTGTTTTTCACCAATCAAAATACCCACTGGAGAATCTCATCTTGTTGCTGATATCGTGAACTCTACTTTTTTTGTAAATCGTAATTATTTTCCAAAATTGTTCACACTCTTCGATGCAATGAAATTTATGTTTACATCCATGACGCGAGGGCACAAAAAAAGGATGTGCGAATTTTGGGCGATCCATCTCAAGTCTCACGTGTTATATAAACACTCGAAAGGTTTTTTTTATTATTTTTTTTTTTTATTGAATCTCTCGTTTCCTAACGCATTTGATATACAATCTCGCAAAGCCACGTAAGAAAGAAAGTTCAGCTCTATTGGCTCGGCTCTTGCTTCTCTGTTTTCCAGGAGCGTCCACAAGCACGCTCTACACAGGACCTGGACTTTTTTGTCGGTTCGCCCCGCCCTCCCGAATAGTCGCGATCGCAAAGGGCCACGGATGAGGAGGAGGAAAGACGGATTCGGCACCGATCGATAGTCGAAAGTACTATAGGACGACGCTAAGAGCTTGCACTGACTTTGGGAGATTAAACGGATCTCTCGGAGAAACGGCAGGTGGCCACGGAATTCGTGATCGAGCACGCTTTGCGCAATTAGGGACACATCATGGATGCGCAGGATTAGCACCGTTGGTTTGAAAAAGTTTTTCTCAAACAAAAAAACAGGTTAGTCACGAAGCACGGGGTTACTTTTATTCACGCGCTCCTTGTGGTTTTTCACTGTGTACACGTGCAGTAAGAATTTAAATATGATCATCACAATCATAGCAGCTGGTGCAGGGGCGACTCTCGGCCTCGAGAGTTATTTAATTGGGTAGCAAAGATAAGGATGCCACTTTATTCCGCCAGCGAGGCCGGTACGTGGAGGCTGCACGCATATTTAGAATACGTCCTTCGACGTATACAGCATATACACCGCAATCTTGCATTCAAGACGCATCCAATTTTCCGTGCAGATCCTCTTAAGATTCCGCGAATATTTATACGTACCTTCCTGGAATGGTCAGACTCCGCGTGTGGGGTTAACATGTATGTATACGCAAGAAAACGCATTTTTCTACGCAATAGCACCTCAACGTTATAAAAACAATGGAATTCAAGATTTTCCGACCTTCCCCCCTCTCCCCCTCTCTCGCTCGAGATCCGCAAATAAACTCGGCCACTGGTATCCGACGAATCCCCGAAGAACTCTCTGGCCCCTTGGAATTGAACTGCACACGCGAGGGCTTCCACGTTTTTGCGAGGGAAATGTGGAAGGGAGAAAAAAAAGGCGGTAAACTTTATACCGGCCTGCGGTGGATTTCGATGGGCTAATCCTTTGAGCGGCGCTTCCTTTCGTGGATCCTTTGCTTTCCTCGCACGAACACGCATCCCCCTTTCCCTGTTTCGTTGTTTTTTTTTTTTTTTTTTTCCTTTCTCTACGGTGTTAAGGGACGTAGATTTGCGAGAAAAACGAGATTTATGTTGTTCGAGCGTTTCATTCAGAGCCGCCGTTTGTTTCACACGGAATTGGGCCGGTGGATTTTATTTTTGTTTTTTGTTCCTCTTCTTTTTTCGACTAAAGGCCGGGAATAAAATGCAACGACGTTTGATGGAAATATCGAAGACTCCGAGGGAAAATCAATCGAGTTTTAATTAAATGGCGTTGCTATGAAATACCTATCGGTGCCCATCGTGAAAAAATACGAATAAAACAGAACAAAGGCTTTTTCATCGCTTTGACTCGGACGGACTTTTATCGAATGAAAATTTTATCTCCGCTCTTTCGTTTAGTCGAGGATGAAAACAAGTTTTTTTTTTTTTTTTTTAATAGTACGTCTGTGAAATTTGTAAAATACCCGGAGAAATCTGCTCTTTATCATAAACGCCGACTTCGACGGCTGGAATGGGATTGGTTTTCATAAACTTTCTTCCGTAACGCAACTGCCTTTCCCACCTACAGCTTTTGATTACGAGAACTGTGTTGCGCGCAAAATACAGCACAGATGCGCGTGGCTGTTGTTGTCGCAAAAGAGAATTAAAAGTTTTCCTCCTCCTTTACTTACGGCTGATTTTGTTAGCCGGCTTTCTTTTTCCTCCATCCGCGCAATAATTTCTTTCTCTCGCTGCGTCTCTCTCTCTCTCTCTCTCTTTTTGGTTTTCAAACGTATTTCCAGCCAACGGTACTTCCGCCAACTCGATTCTCGACCAATTAGTCCGATGTCTTCCTTTACTTTCTCACTCTTATAAATTCATTTTTAATTTTCCCGCCCGACGATGCAGTTCAATTAAGTCTCGGGTTCTCGTACCTTCGGGATGTACACTTATACTTTTCCCTTTTAATCAATACATAGACGTACACACGCTTACGCGAAACAAATCACGATGACATTAATTTCGTTGCTAATTGCATGGGACCAATCAAACTTTCATTACCGTAGAAACCGCGTTAAACGACCAGAGTAAACTTGCAAAATTTTGATAGTTACCATTGTACCCATACTAATTGAGTTTTGATCAAAGCCAAGATATATATAGGTACCCACCGTGCGAGACACTCAAAGTTTGGATCATCGACGTTTAAAACAAAAATTAAGGGTGAACTGCAGGGAGCAGTCGAATCCGTAGAACCTTTAGTTCATCTGACATTTTGAAGCACTTTGGATTCCAAATATAAACTCGAGTTGGCAAAAAATATCTTTTACGAAACGAGACCTTGGAAGAAATGAAAAACACCGAAGCGAAAGTTTCGACAATCCAAAGTTGGGATGAAAAAAAGGGGAGAGGAAGAAGCTCGAGGGGCATACACGTACAGATAAATACACGCTTGCACCGCGGGCGTGCAAAATCTGTTGGAAACTGGAAAATACCGTTCCGTGGCATCTGGCACTGTCGTCATGAATACTGCACTTACCCTCTCTCTCTCTCTTGGCCTTACCCCTCCTTTACCTTCCTCTATACCGCCTTTCGTCTTCATTTTCAATCTACGGCTGTTGCTCTTGTGTATACTTCAGGGTGTGCGCGCGTGTCACTTTTACGAAAGTTTTGCCATGTCTTGGCTGCACTTTCATCGATTCTTTTGGAATCTGACAGAAGTGGCACGATTCTGCTCTGCTACGCAATACTTACTGCTTTCAAGTCGCAAAGTTCGATATAGCGTATGGTGCTCCTATTATTGTGGTTTACAGCAGGAGTCGTTGGTTTGTATGCACCCTTGGGCTTGGATAGTTATTGAATTTAAAAAAAAAAAAAAATTTTCTTGCTTAACGCGTAGCCTTATTGATGATAAATACATTTTTTTTTTATACTACTTGTATCACAGTACTAAACACAAATTTTTCCAGCCAAAAAATGCACTACAATTAAAAAAAAAAAAAAAAAAGAATAATTTAGAAAAAAAAGAGTCAATGCATTTAAAAAGTATTAAATATTTTATATGAAATACCTAATGATAAAATTTCATACCTAAAAAGACATTGCACTTATCTTATTTGCCAGAAAAAATTTTTCCTATCAATACGGTATCGTGAATAGAAATGAACAATTTAAAATAATACATTTTAAAATATACTTGATTAAGGAAAAATAAGTTAATTCAAAGAGCCATTAAATAGTAGCACCCAAGTCTGTCCGTATATAATTTGGGGGTAAAGAGGAAAATGAATGTATTAAAAATTTATCTTGCTTATCTTTAAAAATAGCACAATACATAACATAAATCGAAATTTTTGTTACAAGGAAAAATAGAAGAAAAATATAATTATATACTCGTGTGTATCCTATGTGTCTGTCGTGCGCCTTGCACGCATAACCAAAGTAATTTACATAAACTGAGTTTCTTGTTAAATATCTACATGTAAGCTTAAAGTGATGATATAATTTATGTTGTTCATGAAGATTTGAGTATCCATTTCGAGTAGATAATATGCAGAATTGTAAATAAAGAAATCACGCCCTACTGTACGCACCGATCCTTTGTGGTCTCTGATGTAAGAATTTTTCAACAGCCACGAGTATTTCGTAGATCACTCGAGCTCGCGACAGCTCGTCCGCACGCTTGGTACCCCGTCACCTTTGTACTTTGTACGCGCGTGGAATCGTTCGTGTTTCCGTGAGACTGCTCTTGTCGCTGAAAGCCCGCGAGCACTCGGCACACCGGTAGGGCATCATGCCCGTGTGGATGCGCACGTGGACCGTCAAATGGCTCTTTTGACTGAAATTACGCAAACACACCGAGCATCGGTAGGGCCTCTCGCCCGTGTGGCTGCGCATGTGTACCTTGAGGTTGCTCCTGTCCTTGAAGAGGCGCGAACACTTGGAGCACCGATAACGCCTTTGGTGGGTGTGGCTGTGCTCGTGGCGCCTTAGGTTGCTCTTGTCGCTGAAGGCTCTCGAGCACACCGAGCAACGGTAGGGCATCATGCCGGTGTGGGTGCGAAGGTGTACCGTTAGGTTGCCTACTTGGGTGAAGGCTTGCGGACACACGGGGCACTGGAAGGGCCTCTCGTTCGAGTGGATGCGCTCGTGGGTTATGCGTTTGCTCGCAAAAGGCGAACGTCTTTTGGCATGCGCTGCAAGTGAAGGACTTTTTTTTTTTTCTTCTCCATTGGATACCCGTCTCACATCTTTGAACGTACTTGTAAGCTCCATGTGCTCTGGAAGTTGCGGATCAACTGACATTGTATGTCGGTTGACTTCGAAGTTGGCACTTTTGACCTGATTGATGATAAAAAAAAGTTGATTCGTTTCTGTTGTTTTTTGATCGCAAGCTATATTAACAGTAAAATCAATCATTTTTGTACTATGCTGAATTAAATTAAGTGTCCGTATGTTACTGAAATATTGTTATATTTTTTTTTACTACGACTATGAGATAAATTTGAAAATCGGTAAATACATCGGCTCATTCTAGAATCAATGAAACTACTTTGGATTTGAAATTAAAAATCAGATGTTTCAAATACATTTTTTTCACTCGCTGAATTGAATTTACTTTCGGATTTTTTTTTTTTACTTACGTTAGTGGTCAATACTTATCATGCCGGAAGTGATTTAATTGTAAAAAAAAGTGTTTCGACTCAAATGTAATTAGCTTGTAAAAATATAATAAGAAATATGAAAAACAAGGGTTATTCTCAAATAGCTACTTTTCAAAGCAATGGACTAATATTTTCTCACACTTAACAATTTTTTTTTTTTTAGTTCCAAAAATGATACCAACCTTTGATGTTGTGCTGTGCTCATTTGCTAATACTTACTCGTAGTCAAACGTCACTTTGAAAACCTCGTTAGCAAAATATTTTCAATTTTTTCTTCTTTTTGGTAAACAGAAGAGCTTATGATCCGCGAGGTTGAACTTTCGCAAGTGAATGCTCCTGCACTAGAGCTGGCCCCCCAACATGTGGGATGGTTCAAGCGACAATAGATGCGTCGTTAATGGCATAATAATGGTCATTTGCTGCGTGTGAAAAGCATAAAGATTGTGCTCGATAACGCTGGTGAGCTTGACAAAGCCAATGCGCAGTGTGTGATATAAAAAATAAAAAATACGTTTGTTATAGTAGACTTGGATAAAGTTGAATTGACTTAAAATTTATGTCAAATTTCGTCAATTAGCTCGTGTCCGTAAATTGGATTCCTCATCCACGATAACTGACAGAAAGAGAAATAAAAATAATAATAAATAATTAAAAAAATCAATTAAGAATCCGAAAAAGTTCGCTAAACAGCCCACCACAGCCAACAGCAAGGAATCTGCATAAAATTTCTTAAGAGAGAGAGCACAGCCATGTGCTGTTCCTCCACCTCCTCGTGCCACACTCCATCATCAGACATTCTGCAGGGGGGGTGGATGAGAAAGACACTCAGTGGTGCGCACATGCATTAAAGCCACTCGCTATGCGTCTGATGCTGCTCGAGAGAAAGTTTGATCCTGTTTTACAAGGCGACAGAGAGAGGCCTCGTCTTCGTCTTTGCCTCCGCTGCTGTCGTGTGTATAGCCTCACCCCTTCTTTACCACCGAAAGCCCTCGTCTTTGGGGTTTTGGAGGAAGCTCTCTCTGCCATACCTGGGTAATCGTTAAGCGACAGAGAGAGTCTCCGCTCTGAGTGCAAGAGAGAGAGAGAGAGAGAGAGGATTATGGATGGATGGATGTATATGCATGCATCTCCACTTGGAACGTAGTGCTTTTTGGAGGGGTGGTGAGCTGCTGCTATAGGAAAGTTTTTTCGATAAAGGGCTGTTTTGCGTGGATGAGTATCTGCGTTTGTGCTTTTTTGTCTGTCTCTGTGTATGTCCTGTCGCATCATTCACGTGTAGCTATGATTTATCCGCCAGCTCGAGTTGTACGTGTAATTGTTGATTGAATATTCGTAGTTGAATGGAACTTTGAACATGACAATCAAGTTATTTGTGGTCGTGTGTAATCGTGACTTTCTTCAAACTTCATTGATGATTAACGTAATCTTTTTTTTTTTTTTTTTTTTTTTTAATGTAATAAGGAGAAGCTATGTCTCTCTTACTGTCTATCAAAGGGGTGACTCCTGATTTAATCCTGGTGAAAATTACAACGACTCGATGTCTGGACAATTCGAGGGCAAAAAGCAGCAGCTCTTCGAAAGAAAGTCTATAAGATAGAGAGCTCTACAGGCTGCCAAGGATCGTTCCATTGATACGTGCTTTTCGACTTTTATTTTCGTCATCTTTCATCCGTTGACCCACGCTGTACCAGTTCCATCACGTCCGGCATCATCGTTTTCATCAGACGCTCATTGTGCTCCAGTTTTGCGACTAACCATGCGTCATTCGACTTGTCAGGTCCTCCTTCCTCTTCAAAAATACACTGTGTGTGCCCAGCCTCTCTGGCTCTACGTACACAGCCTTGGAGGATATAAGCTTGTCGTCTCTTTGGCGCCCAACCGGACGACGACCTCCGTACCCACGGGTCGAGCGGTTGTTTGAAGAGAACTTGTATCATATACCGTTCGAAAGGATGAATTTTCGATGTGTTTGACTTTCGTTGGTACGAAGGATGGACTTGTTGTGTTTTTACTGGTATACATGTATCTCTCTATTTATCGAATTATTTTATGTTACTTTTTCTCCCTTAGCAAATGAGTTTGTAGCTTAGTTCAACTATTTGCAATCCTTTTATGTTAATTAATGAGATCAAAATATTGAACTATGGTAAATTTTTATCTTTCACTATTTTATATGAATTAGTTCTATGAACAAGAATACTAACTCTTGCAAGTAAGTATTTTACTTTTTAAAATGTAAATATAAAAAAAAAATGTTTTTAAAATTTAAACCTTAAACGATTTTTGTTGATTTTGAACTGTCGATGCATGCTGGTATTCCTACAATTTTGTACAAATATGATATCATTGCTTCCAATAAATGTATAAATCAACAACAACAAAACCTTCCAGTATTTGGAAAAAAATTTCATCGTCTCTCTTTTTTCCAGCAAATAATTCAAGCTTCATTCAATAAGTCATGCTTCAACAGCATGTTTCAGTAAACATTTGACTTTCAATAAATAAAATTATTGTATTTTTAAACACGCCAGTATACAACATAATACGTATGCTGGCAGTCCGAAGCCTGGATCAAGTGTGACGGAAAAAACAATAATTTTCATTCGATACGTCAATATGGTTTTTCAATTAATTGAGAGCCAACTCAATCGTATTTCTCAATGACCCGCGAGCTAACTCAACACTTTGTCCTGTTTAGGAAGCCAACCCAACATCACCGAAATAATTCAATTTTCTAAGGTCTCTCTAGTAGACATATCATTGACAATTTGTTTCTTTAAAATAAAAGTAACCAAAAAGTTCTTATTGTCAGTTGAAAAAACTATATTCACGAAAACGTCGTTCCCTCACTCCCCGAGTATAGTCGTATGTAAGCTTACGACCCAACACACCCAAACGAGCCATCGATCAGTATACATAACTTAGTGCAAGTCACCGTTTCCCGAGACTTGTCTACAGTAGACTTCCATAAGCCCCTCTCCAAAACCAATATATGCGCCCTTCCCGCTGTCAGTGCCCCGTATTCCAGCTCTTATCTGGACCAGATGAATTTCCGTACAATACGCATTTTACTGATACATGTAGTAGGACGAAAATAACGATTCTAAGGTAATGCGCGCTCAAACCAAAGAGACAAATCTCTTTCGGACACGAGGTATCAGGACGATGAGCGTAACGCGCACTCCTGAAAAGGTGATGCGCATTGCACGTCCGTATACGTCAGACTGCAATTAAATTCACGACACTCCCGCTATACAAGCCAGGGTGAGAGATAATCTCTGGCTGGAGTTAATTGGCTCGTCACTGGTAGGGGGTGGTATAGAGCAAAGGCCTCGCGGCGCTTAATTGAACTGTATGGACCTAACGACGTAATTGCCCGGGCGATTTGGCTGCCGGCGGCGATGTACAGCCCTCCAACTCGTCTCTTTTCTCTCCGGCTGAGTCGGTCCGTGTGTATATAAGGTGCACGTGAGGACTGGAGATTGATGGCCGTGACTTGAGCGGCTTTTTTATATGCGCTTCACGACCGAGGTATCGGACTTTGTTTTGTCGTTTCTGCTTCCTCAAATGGAGAAAAAAAAAAAAAAAAATTGATTGTTCTTACGATTGGTTGTACCAAAGGGCGAGCTCTTAATATCACTCTGTGACTAATTTGTGCTTTTTTTGGGGGACTGCTTGTATGCATTGTGAGTATTGTCACGTGCGATATGACGAGGAGAAGCCTATAGAGAGCTGTGCCGGATGGAAAAGTTAATCAGGCTTTGGATCTGGGACTCAAATTACACTCAAGTTGTTTTATTACAAAGTGTTCATATAATCATGAACTGCTTCAGTTTTTCCTCGTATTATGAATAATTCGCAGATAATAGGTAATATATATGACGTTGTAACTGTGTACATGTAAATGGTGCGCATGTCTACTACTTCGCAAAGTGCACATAAACATAGGTCGTTATAGTATACGGTGAGCCAAAGCAGCTTATTGAAACATTTCCAACATTTTGAAATCCTCGTTATCATATGATGAACAATCTTCGTCAGTGAGAAGACGTATCCGGCTTATCTGTAGATTTTTATGATGAATATAATGAATATTTAAATGACATAAAAATCCAGCATGTCAACTTATTACTTTTTAATGTAATTGTTCTCATTTGATAACATATACTGCTTTGAAAATAGAAGATTTCTATTGTGAGATTTAAACATTTCTTTTCTTTGTTTAAAATAATTGACAGTAATTTTCCTTTTATTATTTATTATATACTTGCTGGGTTTTATTAACACAGCGTATTCTCAAAAAAATTTTTCCACGTGGGGGCAATGTCTAATTTTATAAAATACGCATTATTTTGTTAGTATAATGGTTCTCTTGTCATAGACTATTAATATTGGAAATAATTTCCATTGTATGAGCATGAATTTTTAAGCACTATCAGAACGCCCATATTTCTCATCCGTGTTTAGATCACGTCTATCGTTTGAAAGATCATTTGCATAATTCTTGCAGTAAAAACTGTAGCTGCACCCAATATAACAAAATTTTTGAGAATACTATGGAATGCATAAGACACAATGCACACGTGCGCGTTCATTGTCTCAAATGTTATTAAAACAAATTTATAGCTTTAAACAGGCAATGGTACATGTGTTTTTGTTTTATCAGAACTTTTCTTACGTTCGAAGATATATTTCACTTGGCAGCCAAGAAGCATTACTTCATGAATTTTTTATAAGAGTATACATGAATATTTT